TTCTTTTCCTTTTAGGGCACCGGAGATTGATATTTCAGAACTTGAATCTCTATTCTCTGCTGCTGTTCCAAATGCAGATCAAGGGGGTTCAGGCAGAAAAACTGGTACACTAGGCTCAGTTGGGAAACCTGAAAAAGTGCAACTGGTAACTTCTTGCGCCTTTCATTTCTTTATATCATCATACATGTATCCACAGACAGCATTTGTGTAGTAATGAGTTTTGAATTTCTTACTTAGCGGTTGTAGCATAATCATTGTCTGAAAATGTGCATGTATTACAGTACCCATCGATATCTCAATCCGCTTTTTTTAGGATTTTCTTCTTTTTCTTTTTTTCCTTCTATTATTTATTGGATTTTTTTCTTCACATAGTGTGTGCTCAGGCGCTAAATTCTCCTTTTTTTTATGATGTTTCCATCTCATTGGTGTCTAGTTGGGAGCAAAATTTTTTGTTCTACTAAATAATATTGACCAAATAAATATCATTCAACTGTTTGGTTTTTCATTATATTACATCTTGATGCAACTCAGGTAGCCAATGAGGTCCAAGTGCTTCTTAACACAAAATCTTGTACACCAGCCCGTGATTTTGTTTTATTTTTATGTTTTTCTTTCATGTCTTTTCCGCATCTTATTCCCTGAGAATTGAAGAGTAACAAACCCAACAAGTGTAACTTATTCTGCCTCAGTAAAAAACACTTCTTATTGTTGCATGCCTCATATAACTATCATTATATACATAGAAGCCACTGCACAACTTACTTGGCATTTTATGTTGAATGTAAATAGAAAGTGTTGTGGGGTGAAATTTCAGTCGGCATTTATAACTTTAGAGAAAGTAGTACAGGAAAATTGCCTATCTTTCCTTGTGCGATGTGTCATATATAAGCTTGTACATGAGCTTCTCTTTATGATGGACGACACATTTCATGTATCTGTATCCCTAATTTCTGTGTTAATTCCTTTTATTTTGTCCATAGAGGTATGGTTTCTTGTGATGTCACTGACACTGAAACTTACATCATTTATTCTCTCTCTTTTCAGATAGAACACAGGCGTGCATACAATTGTGAAATCATGCTTTCAAAAGTAAAGATACCCTTGCATGACATGTTGGTGAGCTCAACTATATGTTGTTAGTTATTTTAGCATTCTTTCAAGGGGGCCATAGATGATTATTGTTCAAAGTGTCAGGCATGATAATTAATGTTCCTGTGACAAATTTACTCATGACTTTTTGTGAATTATTTAATGTATCTGATTCCGCTTACGTAATGCTCGTTTTTTTATAAATTATTCCTCCTGAAGATATTATTCTTAGTGTCATTTGGTTCTAATCCTTGTAGTGTAATTTTGTGGCACTTTGACAGAGTTCAGTCCTTGCTTTGGAAGACACTGCATTAGATGTTGATCAAGTTGACAACCTTATCAAGTTTTGTCCTACAAAAGAGGAGATGGACCTTCTTAAGGTGCGTTGTTCTTTAAGCACTAAGACAACTAAAACGTTTTTTTTTAACGTTGAGTTCATTTATATAGTTAAGAACACGAAAAATATCATTTTTACATCTAACTAATTGTTTTTGTTTCCAGGGTTATAAAGGAGAGAGAGATAAGTTAGGAAAGTGTGAACAGGCATGTACACTTTGTCTTGATTTGGTTGGCCATTTGTTTAATCCTGATGGCAATGTTTCGAGACAGGTTACTTTGTTGTTAAAAGACGTGACTTGTTTTTATCTCAGTTTTTTCTGGAGTTGATGCAAGTGCCACGGATAGAATATAAGTTGAGGGTTTTTTCATTTAAGATTCAGTTTCACTCCCAGGTTAGAATTTACTATACGACTTCACCATTTTCCAGATCTTATTATGTATATTAGTAAGGAAGTTTCATCCTTCTGTCTTCTTTCAGGTTTCTGACCTCAGAAAGAGCCTGAATGTTGTCAATTCTGCTGCAGATCAGGCGACTTGCTTTTTCTGTTTGTTATTTATGACTATTTACCTCCCGTAAACTTTGATATCGTATTTATCTTTTCTATCATGTTCTCATCAGATCAGGGGTTCTGCAAAATTGAAAAGAATTATGCAAACAATTCTTTCTCTGGGTAATGCTTTGAATCAGGGAACTGCAAGAGGTTAGTTAATATTTTCTTATGTCATTTTGACATCATGTTCTCCAGTCTTCCCTTTTTATGTTTGTAATTATTTTGGTTTTATTTACTATCATGTTCAAGCAAAACAAAATGATTGGCCAAGTTATAAATCAAGCGTGAAATTTATCTTTGAATTTCATGCTTATTACGTGCAGCCAACATGGTAAAGCTTGCTGGCATCATTATTTGTATTTAAATATGTGAAGTGTGCAATTAAATCATCATCGTCATCTATTACAGATATTATTCCATTTTTTTCTGCTCAATATTGCGAATCCTTTTTGGATTTACAACACAATAAAGGAACAGAATGTAAAGAAATAATTAAAGCTTATCTTGTTTTCGTCGCAATTCTTAATTTGAGAACCTCTGTAAGTATTTACAACAATCTACAACCAGTTTTAGTTGGGCATTCTAAACTAATAATAGTAATTCATACTTTTAGATTTTTATATTTTTTGGGGGAAGGGATGTGGTCCCATAGTGATGAAGCGCACCATAAGTGGGCAAGCATAGTTGCCAACTTAGTGAGGTTCCATCCAAAACCAATTGGTGTAGGGGTGAGTAGCTCACTAGGCTTGTAAACTAATCCCAATTTCCATATATAATCAATGTGGGACAATTCACAAGTGATATTCCAGCACTTTTCTTAACGTTTGTTTGTGAGAATTAACATTTCTTAATACCAAGCCACCTGATAATACTGTTGCGAACTTCCAGTTTTTTCTCTTTATTTGGATGTATGTTATTGCTGCCTAAAGTCTTACTCTCTTCTAATCTGTTGTTGCAGGCTCTGCCATTGGGTTCAGGTTGGATAGTCTCCTCAAACTTACCGAAACTCGTGCCCGCAACAACAAGATGACACTGATGCATTATCTTTGCAAGGTAGGCATTCATATCTTTTGCATCAAATTTCTGCCGAAGATGTAACATCATAATTTATTGTATGAAAGATCCCATTGCATTTTAATTTAAAATATTTACGATATATTTCCTGGCTTAAAATCCTGGTGAAGGGTTTTTCCCGTTGGTTTGCAGTGTAGTTGGAAACTGAATCAGTGGTTGCAATTTCGAATGAAATATGTGACAGACAATATATTGTAATTTTAGGATTATTCCTTTGCGATAAATACAAACTTGCTAAGATTAGGTTATCTATATCAGATGTGATCTGAACTTGTTGAAACTGCAAAACTGCAAATACTGGTTTTCTCCCGTGTTAGATGTACGGAATCTCAATTTATAGCCGTTTCTTATGGATCCTATCATTACTAATACCTAATGTATAATTCCCCTCTCTTCTCCTTCCGTCTTTATCTTATCTTGTTGCCTTAAATCACTGTATAAGATGCAGCATGTAACATGTTGCTCTGAGAAAGGATGACAATTATAAATACAACTTAGCTTCATTGGATGGACTATTAGTCCGTCTAATTGATTAAATCTTGGTCCTGGTTATACCATAGAATGATAGAATACTTTCTGCATGAAGTATTTTCTGAACTCTTCTTTTCCTTTTTTGTCTTTCACCCCAGGTGCTTTCAGATAAATTGCCCGAGCTTCTTGATTTTTGGAATGATCTGTCTAGCTTGGAACCTGCATCAAAGGTGAATTTCTTTATTTGTATTCCATCTGTCGCACAAATATGGGCTGCATTACTATCTCGAGTGACCCACAAAGATAAGCTTGTTACTTTGAACGAAGTATTAAAAATGTTAATTTCGGATTTGCCCTTATTTAATTTATATGGATACCAATAAAATGAAGTCAAATCTAAGAATCATTACTTAGAGGGTATTTATGGAAAGTACAACTACCTTACACTTTCCAAACAACAATGATCGTGTTTCCTTAAAATGTGTGAAAAGTGTCAAAAGCCTAAAAATGATTTAGAGAAAATAGTATTACTATATATGCAAATACTAACTTGACCAAGAGAAATTCTTTCAGATTCAACTGAAATATTTGGCTGAGGAAATGCAAGCGATTAATAAAGGGCTTGAAAAGGTCATGCAGGAGCTATCCATGTCTGAAAGTGATGGACCTGTGTCAGACCATTTCCGCAAGGTAGTTTCTGGATGCTATTGAATTATTGTGCTTCCTTTAATGCACATGATTTGTGTCTATTTGCATTTGGGAAAACATCTGACCCCTGTCTGATTTATAACTTACTTATAGTGAATTATACTTATTTTGGTTACTTGTCTCTTTACTTTAAGGAATTTCTTAATGTGTGAAGCTCTCAAGTGTTTTTTTATACATTTCATCATATCTTATTATTCTTATTAAGGAGATTCCGTCTAGTGAGGACTCGCCGTCAAGTGTTCCTCTTGCACTACTTTTTATCCTTGTTCTTTTTAGTTGTGTGCGTGGCTGGGTAGGGTTTACATGTGAGTACCTATTTACAAAGAATATCGACAGGCTTAGAGAAAGAAAGAGAGCAGTTACTAAGATGATGTCTGTGTACTTGTTTACTTTCCATATCTCATGGACAATTGCAGTTTTGTGCTTGTTTGAGATTTCCTTATTATAACAGTTGTTTAATTCCAGGCTTTGAAAGAATTCCTTTGTTTTTCCGAAGGTGAAGTGAGGTGCTTGGCTTCACTTTATGCTGGAGTGGTACGTAGTAGTTGCCTTTAGGATCAGCTTAGGGAATCAATGAATATCATATTATATTAGCTAAACTGCATTTTAGTCCTGCTGGCTTAACGCCATAGCATTTTTAGTCCCAAGATTCTAACATTTCGCCTTTTGGTCTTGTGATTTAAACTTTTGCTGCAATTTCTGTCCTTTGAGGACGGCAGTTGCAACAAATTCTCAAATTTAAAGATTTTTTTATTAGCAACTTAAGTCCTATAATATAAAATTTTGTTGCAATTTTGTAATTTAAAATTTTGTTGCATTTTCTGTCGGAATTACAACAAAATATTAAATCGTAGGACCAAAAGGCGAAAAGTTAGAACATTGACCAAAAGGCGAAAAGTTAGAACATTGGGACAAATTGTTATGGCGTTAAACCAACATGACTAAAAATGCATTTTTGCCTATTATATTCCTGAAGCACAATCACTTAAGGAGACTCTAAGTATACTGTTATGCAGGGACGAAATGTGGACTCACTTATCCTTTATTTTGGTGAGGACCCAGCTCGCTGTCCGTTCGAGCAAGGTAGTTTTTAGTTTCCTTCACTGTTTACTTGTAGCATTCATATGATCGTGCGACCGGGAATGATACATAGCTAAAGTGTGGACTATTGTCTGTCATTTCCTTCTTTTTTCTCGTGATTTGAGATGACGTTGTAAGAACATTTTGATACAAAATGTTTGCAGTCATCTCGACTTTGTTCAACTTTGTGAGAATGTTCAAGAAAGCCCAAGAAGAGAACTGCAAGCAGCTGGAGTTTGAGAGGAAGAAGGCGGAGAAGGAAGCTTCAGAAAAGATGAAGATGAATGCTGCAGATGCTGGACACTTGTTGCAAGTCAAAAGTGTCAAATAATTGTAAAGCCAAATTTCTGCTTAGGTTGACTTGGATAATTGCTGTGTGGATGCTCAAATGGCACTCTGAAATCACGGACATTTTTACCAAAATTAGGAATTTTTCATGTTAGATTGATGGCTGATGAATAGCAAACTTGTGATCAAGAATGTCGAGAAAGTTCAGTACCTTTCCCCGCCTCAGTAAAGGTAAAATATCCTGTTTCTATTTATTTTCAGTAAATCATAGTTTTGACTAATTCCTGTATTTGTTTGTCCCAGTTTTTCTAGGTGAATCAGCAGACCCCAATTTTGCTTGTGGTACTCTTCTATAGAATTCTCGTGGGAAGAATAAAGGCAATGCAAAACATCTTGTTTAAGTTGTCTTGTTTTTGTTCTCATGTAACCTTGTATAGTATGGGTATTGGCTCGGATTATATGTCTCTTAACGAACAATGTGCCACATCAAACAAGATTCATGGCGTAAATTGTTAGGAATCTGATCTAGTTGGTCTGTATGCGACTTGCATCAATATTATATGGGGGTTGTAATGCCCGATGCTCGTGAAGAGAGAGAGAAAGAGAGTCGCATCAATATTTTACAGGGGTTGTAATGCACAATGCTCGTGAAGAAATAGAGGGAGAGAGAGGATCGCATCAATATTTTACGGGGGTTGTAATGCAAGATGCTCGTAGAGACTCTTAACCACATGAAATATTGATTCTTTTCCATGTATCCCTCGGAATAGAATGAGCTTCTCATAAGATATTTTTATATGCCTGTGAGTCGACGTTCTCAAAGCACTCAGAGTCGGCGAAATCGTTTGTTACATCTTTTTATTTTTACCCCCAATCAATGTGTAGATCGTCACAAAAAAAATGTTACTATGCCAACTAGTATACAACTAGGTTGACAACATTGGTGGAAATATCTATAAATAAAAAATACACAACGGATGTTTTCACTTAATTGTCAACTTAGTTGCACACTAGGTTGACAATGTAACATTTCTCTCATGATCAAATAAAACCAAAGAGTCAGCACATAACTTTTTCTTGATGTATAAATTACAATTGTGGTGATTAATAGAAGTAAATTGGACCGGTTTAAAAAAAAAAAAAAGACTAGTAGAAGTAAATTGGAAGCGATGTTCTAAATTTTGTCATCCTTTAAACAAAAAATGATTGATTATGAGTGACAGGGTCTTTGTATGATTGACTTCATACTCCGTATAGATATATCAATAGCGCAAGTACATGGATATTTATTTGTTGTTAATGCAATTGGTTGAGATGTTTGTTTGTTCAGTTCGTTCAAATTTGCATATCCACATTTAAAATAAACTACTCGGCCTAATTGTCCATGACTTTGGCCGGGTGTTAGTTAGGCTATCTTTATTTACGACTCTCATTGTCGTGCACAAAGGACAAAGAAAAAAAATCTTAAAAATCAGCGACACATATCAAAGATTGAGATTGGATCACAACCTATTTAAGTGGGTGAAATGGGACAAGTGTCCCATTTTTATTGGAACATAATCAATTTCTCTATTTTCTCTGTTTTCCTAATTTTATATTATTAATTTTTTCTACTTTTCAACAAATACCATATGGATCCAAATTTGAAATGTTACCTAAAATCAAGATTTGTCCAATTCTGAAAAGTTTTCAAATTTCCAAAAGTTTCCAAATCTTATCCAATTTACAGTTTCTGTAAATACCCAAAACTCACAAAACATCTCCCAAAATTTATTTTAAAATGTGCAACAGACACGTACAAATCCTTAAAAAGGAGCAAAAAACAATTGGAGTGTGGCGGAAGATCTTGCTCTAATATCTGCATGATGTTTCGTTAGCGAAGACAAAAGGTGTGACAAGAATCAGAAGAGTTTTTTGTTATGGACACTAGTACGTCAAACACTCCGACCGGCTGGAAATCGGCTCGCCTTTGTCTTTCCCACTGGTAGAACGCCGAGTACTCCGACACCGGAGGGATTCTTCGGTAAAGAGCCTCTGATGTTTAAGTCAAATAAGCTCTATTTGATTCTCAAGAGTATAATGGATAAATCGTGCTCAATTGTAAAGCTCATCCCTATATATAGGGGTGAGGTACTTGTTTCTACAAGGCTGCCCAGATAAGCTGAGGTGGCTGACTCTTTTATTCATTTTTTTTTCTTGAGTCACTTTTTACAAATGAGGGTTCCAAACGATTATTATCAATGTGTGCTCTCAAGGTATTTCCTCAAACCTCATAGATCGGTTTCTCGTGCTCATTATCTCATTCCACTATATGAATCATGCAACTCAATGTGAATTTTTTATTGTTGTGTTACACAAACTCATTAATCTAGTTATAAAAAATTCATGTTGACCATTCCTGCCGAAAAAGCAATAGAAGACCGTCCAAGAACCTGAATAATAAGGGTGTGTTTGTAAAAGAATTTGCTTCTAAACCAAATTAATTAATACTCAAAATCTAAAACTCAACTTTAACTTAACTCCACCATCCTCAATATTATCAATATAGTTAAATAATAACAACCAATCATTAAATAATAACACCTATCATATTTTACACATCATATCAATTTTAATTTAATATTCATCAACTCACATAATTTTAACTAATCATCACTTCATATCACCTCACTCCCTAAATATAATAACAACCAATCAGTATTTGATTGATTTTTTTTTTTTTTTGGAGAAAAAGAGGCTAAAAGCCTTAAGTTAGTACTCGACGGGGATACGACACCCCGATATTGTCATGATCAAGCCAAGAGCCTAACCCCGCCGGTGGGGATACCAAGCGATGTAAACAAATCGGATACGATTCCGCCAGGCTCGCCATATGATCGACCGCAAAGTTGGCTTCCCTATATATGTGTTGGATATTAACGCTCCAATCTCTGTGAATCAACTCTCGGATAGCTCAAACCAGTGCATCATGGAGCCCCATGTCGCTCTCGGACTCGCACACCATATTTTTCAAGCAAAGGCTATCAACCTCGGCCACAACTTTTCGGTATCCCATCTCCCACAGCTCAGTGCTCGTAATAGTGCAGAAGCCGATGTTGAATAGAAATCCCGCAATCCATCTCCCTGCCTCATCACGGATTAATCCCCCCGCATAACTAATGCCTGTGACATTATAAACGGCTCCGTTCGAATTGACTTTAATCCAGCCCGACGTTGGAGGAGTCCGCCGAATCATCCTAGTAACATGTACAGCCGCTCCCACCCTTACGTAATCTGTCCTCGCTCGGGAATAGCTCTCCGTCAGCCGCAAAACCTCCAACCGGCGGACCTCGACAGCAAGGCTTTTATTTTTAAAAATTCGCGCATTACGCCATAGCCATGAACGCCATGCACCAATGAAAAATGTGCTACTCCACTCCTCATCACACCCCGCTCGCGTCGTCGAGAGATTCTTACGCAAACGGAAAAAGTTTCGGTCATAACTCGGTGGTAGGCGTAGCCAAAGTTCCAAGGTAGGTGGGAAGTCTCGAAGAACGTGCAGTCCCGATTCCAGTTCCACACACAACTCACAGGCCGCAGAAGCCATTTAATGCCGCCAGACGCGTTCAACATTGGTGAGAAGGCGATCCTTGGTGGTTAGCCACAGAAATGTGTGAGCTCGCTGTGGTGCAAGAGTACGCCAAATGGTGGTCCACAGTGGTTTACACACCCTAAATACAATACAATGCATTGCATTTCTTCGATTTCGGTTCTTCAGAATCCAGGCGTCGGACTCATTAGATCTATCGAAGGATATGCGGCTGAAAATGGTCTATTTCAGTGGTTTACACACCCTAAATACAATGCAATGCATTGCATTGATTCGATTTCGGTTCTTCAGAACCCAGCCGTCGGACCCATGAGATCTATCGCAGGATATGCGGCTTAAAATGGTCTATTTTCAAATACAAGGCACGTGGCCACGTCAATTATCCACAAAAGTCCAATACGAGTTTCTTCTCTTGTCCCCGTCCACAAAACTTACTTCCTTCCTTAGCCGTCTACAATGACGAATATACCCTCTTACCCTGCTATTTCATCACTCTCCAAAACCCAATTGAGAACATTCAAACCGCCGGGGAATGCAGAGAGATGGGTGGACCTTCGGTTTATGACTCCCGATTCACTTCTGGCGATACCCTGAAGCCTCTTGCCGCCGGCCGTAATTGCCACCGCAAGCACGTCGAGGACGGCTGAAATCAATTCACCCTCAATATTTCTTTTGTTTTTCATGTTTCTGTAAAAAAAAAAGCGAAGAGAAAAAAAATAGCAATCGTTGATGGGTTCGGAAGAAAAAAGCGGCGGCGTGCTCCTCCAGGGGAGGTACGAGCTCGGCCGCCTCCTCGGCGCTGGCACATTCGCGAAGGTGTACCGCGCGCGCGACCTGCGAACGAACAAGAGCATCGCCGTTAAGGTGCTCGCGAAGGATAGGGTTTTCCGGGCCGGGCTCTCCGACCAAGTCAAGTGCGAGATCTCTGCCATGTGGGCCGTCGCCACCCCAACATCGTCGAGCTCCACGAGGTCATGGCCACCAGGTCCCAGATACCTCGCCATGGAGCTCGCCCGCGGCGGCGACCTCCTCGCCCGCATCTCCTCGGGCCGCCTGCGCGAGGGCCTTGCTCGAACCTACTTCCGTCAGCTCGTCTCCGCCGTGGGCCTTTGCCACGGCCGCGGCGTCTACCACCGCGACCTCAAGCCCGAAAACAACCTTCTCCACGAGGACGGGCGGCTCAAGGTGGCCGACTTCGGGCTGAGCGCACTCTCTGGCCACCTCCGGCGAGCCGGCCTGCTGCACACCGCCTGCGGGACCCCCCCCCCACGTGGCGCCGGAGGTAGTCGGCCGGTCGGGCTACGACGGGGCCATGGCCGACATATGGTCCTGCGGGGTCATTTTATTTGTTCTCCTTGCTGGCTACCTGCCGTTCAAAGGCAACAACGTGATGACCATTTACAAGAAGATGGGTCGGGCCGAGTTCAAGTGCCCGCCATGGTTCTCGCCCGGGT